GCCCGGAGTCGTGTGCTGTCTGGGAATGTATATATTTTTTTTAACATGTTACAAAATTTTTTTTACCCAAATTTATATTAAAAAAATCAACGTCTTTATCACTAGTTATATTTTTTATTACTTTTCTTAATTCGTTTTTATTATTATGAATTATATATAGATCGCTTAATTCTTTAACACGTGATAACGAAACATAAGGTAACGATAAAATAAATATTTTACAGTTAAAATTCAAAACAGTTTTACTTAACGTGCAACCTTGTGCTTTATTAACAGTTAAAGAAAATGCTAATTGTAAAGATAAACCGATTCTAGATGCAGTAATATTATGAGTACAATCTAAAATGTCCTCTTTCACGTTTTCGATTTTAAATTCTTACCGTTTATAATAACCCAAACACCATCTGTTTCTATAAATGATACAACGCCAATTGCACGTTACATAAACCTTCTTCGACGTTTATATTTTTTACTAATATGACTACAGCACCTATTTTTGTATTTATACAAAAAGGTATTTGAAACATCGGATTTATTTTTGAATTTTTAATAACATCTTTAGAATAAAACCAATGTTCATCAGAAGGAATATTCATTAATTGACGCAAGTTATAAAAATCAACTTTCATATTTGTCAAAAACAAACGTATGTAATTTGGATTTATATCATGATCGACTTCAAAGTGTCTTGTCAATATTAAATCAACCGTTTTATCGGATACTTTCCCAATTAGTATTTCGTTTAAAGCGTTGAAAAATTCAATATTTTCTTGTTTAAAAGATTCATTAAGTTTGATAACATTAAACATGTATTTTTTCCACATTGTGGATTTAAAAACATAATCACCTTTTACAGGTGGTAGTTGACGGAAATCACCGCAAGTAGTGACATGTATCCCACCGAACAATTCGTCATCGCATTGATTTATCCGCCTATAATGATTAGCCTATGAATATTATTAATAGTGCGCATAGTTACGCATTGTTACGCCTATTGTTTGTTTTGTTAATTACGGTTCTGCATTATGTAAAATACACTATTTCTTTGCCTCTAGAATTTTTTAAGCGTAGTTATATATTCCATGCGGTCATTCGAGTAAAATCAGCAATCAAATTGGAGCTGAAACATTTATTTTCAAGAAGAATTAATGTTGTTTATTTTTTAAAATAAAAATTTAAATAATTGTTAGTTTGCTATGTATATATATATATATATATATATATATATATATATATATATATATATATATATATATATATATATATATATATATATATATATATATATATATATATATATATATATATATATATATATATATGTATATCTATATGCATTTTCTCTTAGCAAAAATAATTGAGAATAGAAAAATAAAAAAAATTTCTTCTGGAATTTGTCAAAAGGGTGTTGTGTTATTCTTCATTTTAAGGTATCTAAATATGTATTTATTTTTCATTTTTTAGAATAAGTTAGAACTAAATTGACTGGTAAAATAGTTTTTTTAGACAACTAACAGTTTTGTCGTTAGTTATTTTAAAACATTTTAAGCAGTATTTGTTTTATTTTTTAGAGCAGCTAAGAGAAGCTGATCGCTTTTTTAGTAAGTTCAAGTTATTTTCTCATACATAAATTAAGGTTTTCAATTTATTTCAGTCTATTTTATATTTCTCTATATCTACATATATATATTCTCTAAGGAAAAATAATAAGGAATAAAAAAATTAAGAAAATTTCTTCTGGAATTTGTCAAAAGAGTATTGTGTTATGCTTCATTTTAAGGTATCTAAATATGTATTTATTAGAAATTTTTTTAAACCAAGTTTAAAAAAGTTGTTAAACCAAGAAAATTGTAGAGGTTTATTTATCAATATATACTATAAATTATTTAATAATATTGGAGGGAGTAAGTTAAAAAGCATTTTAAAATTTTTAATTATTAGAAAATTCATGTTTACAGAGTTGTTATTAATCATTATCGAGTTGTTGAACCAAAGAAATTGTAGAGGTTTATTTATCAAATATATACTATATATATTGTAAAAAAAATTTTGGTTTTTATATGTTTTCACTAATAAATAGTTCTGTAGATATATATATATATATATATATATATATATATATATATATATATATATATATATATATATATATATATAAATATATATATATATATATATAAATATATATATGTATATATATATATATATATATATATATATATATATATATATATATATATATATATATATATATATATATATATATATAGATAATTGATATATATACATATATATATATATATATATATATATATATATATTTATAACTATATATAACTATATATAACTATATATATCCTTGGAGTTGTGACAGCATAATAGTGTGTTGGGAGAAAAAAATTTATAAACCCGCGTTAATTACCTGTTTTCTATCGTACATAATGCATTAATAATGCATTAATAAGTTTTAATACGTGTTTTTTGTTTAATGTTTTCTATA